GCACCTGGTCCCATCCCAAGTGTCAAATCGCTCGCACCCAGGTTGAGGGGCGCAGCTCGACCCCGAGCTTGGAGACTGACGCCAAAGTTAACATAACCAGTCGCAGATCCGAGCCGGAGCAAATTGGCTGTTCCCTCGATTTGGCTGTTATGTTTCCCTCTGAATGGCGATGGACTAGAAAACCAGTATGGAAGTCCACAATAATGCATTGTTTCCCTCCGTGGTCGAGTATTCTCCCACAACTTCAAGAATAGCCGTTCCCGTGATGCATTTCTCATCGAAATATGTCATTATTTTGTGCGCACAAGGTTTTTTGAGCGAAAGATTGTACCGCTTACTTTGGAATGCTGGGGACAGAGTGGAAGCGCAGGTGTCCTACGACATGCATGAATTCCCGTCGGAAATTTGTGGCGACGAATACTAGGCGGCTATCTGTGGCTTCGCACAATGGGATCACACTGCGTGGAAGGACTGGATTCAGGTACGAGTTGTCTTTTGAACACGGGGCAAATTGTAGGCAACCGGCAGAACGCAACACGCCAGTCAGTTAGTGTGACGCAGGAGTGCTCTGCCCTCATGGGGCCGTGTTTTGTAACCTCAGCGTTGCTCCGCCCATTTATCGAGTGGCTCGAGCAGCCGTGTCCATGCCCCAAACCAACCTGGGATGCCACCCTCAGCAGGAGTCGTGCGGCGCTTGTCAGCATCACGACCACTTGATCATATCCCATACGGTATATCCCGGAAGCCTCTTACGAACTGAGTTCACACACCAAGCGCTACGTGCGTCTGCGTACGCTTTAATCGTCTCGGCAAAAGCCTCCTCCGATTGTCAAGTCTGGTCAACCGAAGTACGTCGTTACGGCAGAGTTGATCTGTAAGTTAGCAGCCTTGGCCACAGGGACCTTGCGCCCAAATCCGTCGTAACTGCCCTTCGTAGCAGAACAATAACTTAACCCACTAGAACGGAGACGTAAAACGGCACACAAGTAACAATAACGAACTAATGGAAGATGGCCAAACTGACTGCGGAAAAGAGGATCGAACTGGTAGTAGATTTTTGGAGAATGTCACCGGAGTCCTGGTGAGGGTGTGCAGAAGGTAAGTGCCAGATATTTGGGCAGACAAAGCACCCCTCGGTGAGTTCTGAGTCCGGCACAACAGTGTAACTGGGCACCGTCGTCGGTTTACCAACGTGTAGCAGATCACGCATCTCAACCGATGACATGAGTGTTTTTGACATGCAAATTATGGGGAGGCTCCCAAAAAGAGCCTTCAGCGACTTTTATGAGACCGTAGCGCCTGCGAGAGTTACGTCCATAGAACACCAAGGAAATACCACCGTCAACCATATCAACTTTTTCGATTCGAGGGCAGTATGGTCCGAAGGTCACGATGTTGACTAGTGTTACAGGAACAAAAATAATCGGACCATTGCGAATAGAAGCGAAGGGGTGGGTTTCAAAAAGCAGCCGGAAAGAAGCAGACACAATCGTTGGAACATGCGTTTAAGAAACGGCCATGATCCGATTCTATGACCTCAGGGTGCGCGAAAAGGGTGTTCCTCACCGGCCCATCGTGTCACTCGAAGGTACTTCAATTTGCGGATTGACGAAGTGGCTGTTTCGGTTTCTCAAATTTCTGACCGTTCATTCAGATACCACAGTTCGTCGGCAAGACTTCTGGAGAAACCTAAAGAGCTAAGTATCCTGCCGAATGGGGTTATGGTATCTTCTCATGCCACATCCCTCTTGACTTCTATCCTCCATTATGACGGTCATGACTACCAAACTACTGCAAAGCAAGTGCGATGTAACGGAGAGTCGCCTTAGATACGCCCAAGTCTCCCAACTCTTGAATTTCGGTCTTAGGACGCACCTCACGTTTGACGGAAAAATCTACGAGCGGGTGAAAGGGACGCCAGTATTTCACTGATTTCGGAACTCGTAGACGGGACAGTCTTTCAACGGTTGGAGTC